TTGATAACAGCTGGGAATTAAAGGGTTTAAAAAGAACTGAAACTCCAAACCAATGGAAGTAACAAAATTGACTACTTTATTTTGCTTTTACTTACAATCTATACTTTAACTTGATGTACCACTAGAGCAGAAATTTTGAATCTTACTCACGGTGGGTGTAATAATTTATCAATGGGCGGCTATTAACGTAATCTGTTAATCCGAAATCTACAAGATATTCCATTTAAACAGACGACAACTCAGTTTCACAAGTGGATAAAATAATAATGATGTGCAACATCAATTCTAATTTCCGAACATTTTATTTTTCATGTGATTAACTGATCGGTTTACCTGGATGAATAAAACAGTAATTATCATTATGAATATGTCTTCCTGTTTGTAATCTGACCAATTATGACTTTTTCATTTTTTTTAGAAAACTCAATACAATGTATTGATACAAAGATATGAAATAAACCTGAAGCAAATCAAATTAAAATTCTACAAAGGAAGATTCAAAATTATAAAGTGCTCTTGGCAGTGCAGTAATAGAAATACAGAGCTTGTTGTCACAACAATAAACAAATAACAAGTGCGATAAAAGAGGAAAAGACCTTATGCATGATTATGTCACATGTTCAAATTCAGCACCAAGTCTTGTTTGTGTGGAATTTTCTCCAAACCTTTAGCACCTTCATGGTGTTTTCACGTGGGTGTTCTTTTCATCTTTGCAGCTTTAGGTATTTGTTGGTGATAAACTTTACAATTTGCATTTTCAAAGCAAGGCTTGGTGGTGAAATTTNTTTTTTTAATTGATAGCAATCAACAAGACGAGCTTCTATCAAGCAGCATGGAAAATTTGATGCACAGAAAGATGCTGAACTGTTAAGAAATGCAATGAAAGGATTAGGTATTAATAATATCTAGTCACTATAATTAAATTGTTTATTAGGACATTAAATCTCATTCGTGCTTGGTCATTCACAATTTCACATTTTGAATTCAAATGTAAAATTCGGGGAAAACCTAAAAGAAGTGAGATCACCTTTTTTCGCACCTGCCAAACAGAGCGAAATTGAAGGCCTGTGAAAAAGAGGCTGGCGAGACAATTAAAGACGCGAAATTTTAAGCATTGCGGTAAAACCCTTTCTGATCAAATTTTACCGACTGTCATCTCACGGGAAAATTTTTTTCTCTGAACCATAAAGTAGAGAGTAGACATACAGTACGTATCCTGAATTCTGTCTGACCGGTGTTCTTTGACATTATGCTATGTCGCAAAGGAACTTGTTAACCTATTGTACAAAATTTTGTTTTCTTACCGTTCTGTTGAATATCACTGAAAAATGTTGCTCTGAAATCTATACCGTTCATTTTGAGACCACTCGTGTGAACGAGAAGGTCAAGGTACATACCTTGATTTCGCGAAAATTATTCCCCCTTCTGTCAAATCGCGAAACTTTGTCTGTTTTATTTTCGCAATTAAAGGACAATTGTGCTAATTAATGTTCATTTCCAGTTGTCAACCATCTCATTTTGGCGTATATTTATTATTAATTGATTTACACGACTTAGAGCGGTTTGATAAAACCAAAACCAAACCAGTTGCTTACCAATAGACCCCTTCACGCTCTAAGGGGCATTATGGGTTATCGGGCCAAGATCGGCAAAGAAACAAAGCGGCAAAAGATACGTTTTTCTTCATATTTCCGTTCTGAGGTTAATTTTCGTGAAGAAACTGTTACTGTAGCTAGAGAAACTCCTTTTCTACGTTTACTAGCATTTTTGAGTCAATTGAGTCCGGCATTAGCCTACTTATCAGGTATCGGAGACTTGATCAAATTATTCGGTTTTAACCGTAAAAAATTCCTACGCCCACGACATTCAACCTCGTTCCCAGGGTCTCTCATCTTACCGCCCTCTACCGCCCCAGAGGGCGGTAAGATGAGAGACCCTGGGAACGAGGTTGCACGACATTCTCTCGATCGGCTCATAAACGCTGGTAAGGTTTCTCCATCCCCATCTCCATGGTTTCTCCATGTTTGGTCTCCACATATGAAATCACAACGGAAATATAAAGAAAACGTATGTTTTACAGCTGTGCTCCCTTGTAAATTTGCCCTGATTACCCATAGTGCCCCTTAGAGCTTGAAGGGGTCTATTGGAATACGAGCTGATCAATCTTAAACCGTAGTAAAACCAAAACCAAAACCCAGGTAATTTACCTGATCACTTTCTACACTCAATTGAAAACCGCTGTGATGTGAATGAGTATTACACACGTATCTCCTTAAGTTGCTGTATTGCATTACTCTTCTGAATTTGTCTTTAGGTTGTGATTCCAAAGCCATCATTAATCTGCTGTGTGCAAGAACAAATGCCCAGAGACTGAAGATTGAATTAGAATACAAGACAATGTATGGCAGGGTAAGGCTTCAAAACATGCTGTATTTCCCTTTTCCATAGTTAAGCGTCATTAACGCTCTTTTTGACCCAGTTTGAACATACATGTACATGTATGTCTCTCATTTCAGCGTCAATTGTTTACCTGCTTAAGAGGACCGTGTTTATGCACGCTGTAGTGCTTATTTTAACTTGTATTTTTACCACAGGATCTTTTGAAGGATCTCAAGTATGAACTTGGTGGCCATTTTGAGGACATAGTCGTTGCTCTAATGATGTCTGCAGCAGACTATGATGCAACGTCACTTAGAAAAGCGATTAAGGTGGGTGGTGGCTGTTTTTTTTTTTTTTTTAGTAAAGCTGTGTAGCACATGAATTCCTGCGTAGTTACCGTTTTGCAGCTACACGTACCATATATACACTTGTACAGCTGCATCTGATAGTACTTTCATGGTCATATAGCAGAAATTTGAATGTGAAAATGGGTTTGATTTGTTTGATCAATAACTAACATAAGGGTAAAATTTATACCGTGTCATAGAACATACAGCCAGTCACAATACAGGAAAGCCGCTGTTTACTCGACCTTATTACTTACTGCACACTCAACCTTCCCATTGTGCGCTGCGATCTTCTTCCCGCCGAAATTTAGTAAGCGGCGCCATTTTCCATTTCTTTCAAGTATCTGATTGGGCTTTGTCAGAGCCAAAATTTTCCCTCTGGTTTAATTTTGAGGTCGCAAACGCATCAGAAAATGAAGATTTTAACAACAAAACACTGCGAGGAAACCAGTTCAAAGCATTCGTAATGAAGTCTGCGCGCATCTCGGGATGTTCCATTCCGCTCGAAAGCGTTGCGTAACTGGTATGATGTTCACATAACGTAGAAACGGCACATTACTGTAAGGCCTGGTTCACACTAGCGACATAACGACAGAACGACAATCGCTTATGTTGGTAATGTGAACATCAATGTAAAGACATAAGGAAAAGATCGGTTATTTTCCTTATGCCGTTATGTTCACGTTGTTATGTTGCTATAGGAGAATCTTTGTTTACAATATTTGCCTCATTACCATAAGCGATACAGTTTCTGATGGAGCTATAAAGAGATTAATACTGAATATTGAAAGGGCACAGCACGATTAACTGTCCCAAGGAATTTGAGCGCGATGTATTTCATACTTTTTGTGCGATGAGGATTTAAAAGCTCAAAATTTTTCAAAAAATGTACGAGCTCATTAGCGCTTTTGCCACACAGAAATTTTGATGTTTTTGAAAGCCAATTTCTCCTCTAATATTACACCCAAAGAGCCAAAAATTTCACCACTTACTAAGTTTCACAAGCTCTTAAAGTTTTTCTAGTAAAATCGTGTCTAGCATGATGCCTTCTATGCGCAAAGTCGTATGTTAATGAGGAAAAATGTAAACAATGACGTCAGCGAAGATTCGCCTATTATGTCATTATGCCAGGATGTTCACACTGCAAACATAACGACATAACGTCCGTCTTATGTTGTTATGTTCACGTCGTTATGTCGCTAGTATGAACCATGCTTAACATGCATATGCTGAGTGATACATTTGTACTTTCGCTTCAGGGTCTCGGCACAGACGAAGGCGTGTTAATCGAAATATTGTGTACAAGGACCAATGCAGAAATCAATGCAATCAAGCAGTCATACCAAAAGCGTGAGTTGGGATTGATTTTGAACAGCCATTTAACATAACTGTGCAACTGCAATAAGTGGAGTTTACTAAGGCCCTGTCCACACTATGCCGGAGGAATTTGCTTTATTTTTCCTGTTAGGCCTTCCGTCCACACTAATCCGTTACGAAAACGGAGGTTTTTGAAAAGGTTCTTCAAACCGGATGAATTTGAAAACGTCGGCTTTGCGCTTTAGTGTGGACAGAAAACATTTTGAAAACGAAGCTTTTCGAAAACGACGAGATTGCGATCTTTTCCCTGCCCGAGTTTTACTCAAACACAAATCCAAACTGACCGGTGATTGTTGCGTTTCCAAATTTCTCCGGCGTAGTGTGGACGCGGCCTAATATATGAAACCTGACCTCATTTGCAAACACTGAGAAATGACGACGCGTAACGGAGAATTTTTGACGAGCTTTAAGGTGTTTGGAAATGTGGTCAAGGTAAATTCTCCATATGAGCCAAGTGGTCGATCAGGTCGGAGCTTATCCCGGTTTCTGCTGCATGAAGCGACTAGGAGTATTTCTACTACCCCCTGGATGGGATGGTAGTCCATCATAGGGTTACCCCCAGCATTAAGTTCGCCAGTACCCATTTATACACCTGGGTGGAGAGAGGCACCGTGAGAGTAAAGTGTCTTGCCTAAGAACACAACACAATGTCCCAGGCCAGGGCTCGAACCCGGACCGCTCGATCCGGAGGCGAGCGCACCAACCATGAGGCCACTGTGCCTCCCACAATGTGGTCAAACAGCTTCTTAGGTATTTGATATATCTTCTCAAATCGAAAGAAAAACAGTTAACTAAAGAGAAAACAGAGAAACAAAATTGTAAAAATGTACGCTAGTGTAAGATCAGATATCCAAACACCGTCACGGTCACTATTATAATATTACATGTAAGTAATCCTCTTGACCTTGGAAATATGACTTCTTGCTAAGCTTTGTTTCAGCCGTAACTTGTGCTACAATGGTATTTCTTTTTAAATAGTTGCTAGTTAATTCATATAACGTTGTGTACTCTATGATGCTTGTTTCTGGGATAGCTTTACTTTCTTTGTGGTGTTTTGTTCCATAGTGTTCAGCCGAGACCTGGAGAAGGACATTTCAGGAGACACCTCAGGCCATTTTAAGAAATTTCTCATTTCTCTTCTTCAGGTACGGTTCGAATTGTGAAGTAACTTGCGTTGCAAGGAGAGAAGAACTTTTTATATTAACGATTCGAAAAGTACTCACGGAAGTTGGACACTGAACGTCAAATACATGTGTTTTTAAACACTGCCTGGGGTGGTTACCCACCCTTACGGCAAAAAGGTCTGAAGAGCCGATTGGCCTTTTTAATGAAGGGGCCCACTTTTTTTAGTTTCGGCCCCTGCCTTGTGTGCAAGCCTGGATTCACTTCTATTGAGCATGTGTAACTTATAATTGCTTGTTAATGTATTCTGTTTTTCTCTTCTTTTCACTTTTTTTTTTTTTTGCAGGCTTACAGGGACGAAAGCCACACAGTGGACTTGGCTAAGGCTGAAGCAGATGCAAAGGTATGTGAAATGCCATTATGTAGCACGTGAAATTCCACTGTACGAAAATGCACGGAATGTCTTGTTTGCTAGGCTGACTTCCTACCAATGAAATGACTTGATGATCTATTGCCTGGAATCCCGCGAACCAGAGGTCGTGATGCTTGTTGTCGACCAAAAGGATTACAGTCTTTGGAGACGATATGATGACCTTTCAGTCTGTAAAATGACATGTTTACTTCTGCAACCAGCCAGGAGCAGCTCAGTAATAGGGCTAGGTAGCAGCTCTTGTTAGGTGCCACGTGAATGGCTGGATACCCTTTGGGAGGACAATAGAACAAACACCAGAAACAATGTCCCTAGCCCCAAAACAGTAACAGCTGCTAGCAAGCAAAAGAATTACAAGCTTACGAGAGCTGCTACACTTCTGTAGAAGTAACACTCATGATGCCTCTTGGAAATTTAATCACAGAAACCTAAAAGAACAAGCAACAAAATAGAGAGAATCCTCGTATCTTGCAACAATAACTTGATTGAAGGGACATTTGTCTTTCAATTACAGATCTTGTATAAAGCAGGAGAAGGCAGATGGGGTACAGACGAATCAAAGTGAGTTGTCTTCAGATTATTCTTCTGTTTCCGAAAACAGGAAGGGTATATATCCTACATGTTTTTTATCGTGTTGTTCGTGTGTTCGTTCTAGGTTCAACAGCATCCTTGTGTCACGAAGCTTCTCTCAGTTAAAAGCAACTTTTGATGAGTATTCTAAGGTGGGTGTTGTCATTTCAGTGATGCATTACATCATGGATTACAGGGCCTTTTCTATATTGAAGCTTGTTATCTTTGCAGATAAGTAAATATGACATTGAAGACTCAATCAAGAGAGAGATGTCAGGAGACCTGCGAGATGGAATGGCTTCTATAGGTACAAATTGAATTAAGCTGATCATAAATGAACGAACAAGTGATATGGAGGATCAGAATTCGACTGCAGTTTCATATTTGGTAATTGTTCGCGCTACTAGCTGTTGTGATGCAGAGTCAAACCTAGTGGTTCATTTACCTCGGCTCAATACAGTTAATGCAAATCAGACAGTTATACCGGAAAAGAGAAACTCCTCGCACTTGCCATATTGGCTTGATCTACAGTACCTCTAGATTCTCAGAACAAAATCACTTAGTTAGGTAGTCATTTTAAGACAAAATTACTAAACAAAATTCCTTGATTTATTTCCGAAGTCAGTTACATTGATGTACACAATTGGCTTGTAAGCCTGTCCGCGCGTCGATTCCGCTTTTATCATTTGAATCTACAGGTGTAGCTCAGGAAACGACACGGGCCAACTGTCCTAACCTTTTTTTCACTTTTTGTTTCAGTTCAAATTGTAAGAAATGCGCCAGCATTCTTTGCTGTGAAGCTGTATAAGAGTATGAAGGTAAGAGAGACGTTCGATGTCACATCCGTCCTTGTATTTTACGGGGTTTTCGTGAACTGGATCAGAGTGGCGTCGTGGCAATTCGCAGAATGGATATCAGGTGATTTGCACCATTGGAAGATTAAGGGGCAGAGCGACGGAAAATGTTTCATTGGTAATTCTTGCCAACATGTATCGTCTGTTGCTAGTGATCCTGTTACCTCCAAACTTGAAATAAATTGATTCAAGATAAAATGTCAGGCTACATAACAACAAACGTTAGGTCGTATCTCTTCTGAGAACATTACCAGCTTCGCTTGATTGTTGTCAGCTTCCATTTACGCTTGTTTTGTTCTTGGTTTGTTTGTGTGGTTTTTTTTGTTTTTTTTTTTTGTCGTACCACAGGGTCTTGGAACCGATGACGCAACGCTTATCCGCATCATTGTGACGAGATCGGAGGTGGATTTACTGGACATCAGAGACGAATTTGCCAAATTATACCACTGCTCGCTGGCCAAGTTTATATCGGTGAGTTTTTTTCGTTCGTTTTTTTGTTTGTTCATTTGTTTTCTGCTAGAACACATTCCTGTAAAAGTCAAAGTGAAATCTTAAGGAAAATCCTAAGAACGCATTCCTCATTGTAACAGTTCCCTTAGCGGACACTCAACTCTAGGCATACTCAGGTTTGTAATTTTGCAATCTAGTGCCCATTGAGCAGGTGTTTATTTAGTGTTCAATGGAGTCTAAATTGTTATTTTCAACTTGGACATCTCTTGCAAGTTAGGAGTTGAGCGTGCATGACAGAGTGAGTTTCTTTACACACAAAACTAGACCATTAATAAAACTGAGAGGATGGTGAAGCTGCTATTGTTGACGGTTAGGAAGACCTTTTTCACTTTCCCTACCAAACATTATCTTCGATTCCGAAACTGAAGAGAACTTCTCTTTCTGTTTTCAGGACGATACACGTGGAAATTACAAGAAAATACTTCTTCAGTTGATCAGTGAAAAGAAGTGAACAAATGTCAAAAAAGATCTGAAAATATTCGCTAAAGAAAGTGAGAAGCGTCTCTTCCTGTTTAGTTAGAGAACATTTTTTTGCTTTCTAGCCGCTTAGTAAATAAAGCGAAACGAGCAAGGATTGTCGCTAAACAAGCACACCTTTGTAGATTTTCTCTGTTTCTAAGTATTGATTGTTTGTATAGGTAATCATACGGTTTTGAACTCAATTTGGAATTAATTTGCACGAGTGAGTTTTTCAAAAAACTGAAATTGCACGAGCCGCTTCGGCGAGTGCAATTTCAGCTTTTCAAAAAAAACTCACAAGTGCAAATTAACTCTAGATTGAACGAGAAAAACCGTATGATTACTTATTAATAATATAAACACGAAAAAATTCGCGTGGAGGAAGTTGCGGAAGATCTTTTTTGAAGCCATTTTTTCTAGGTCTTGTAACAGTCGTATTGTTAAGGAACATTAATATATCTTGCATTGCGTCCATTTAGTTGGAATAAATGATTGTTTATAGGGTTTAATTTGTGAGATTACCGTTTACTATACTTTCACCTTTACGTGAGCGTTGTTTATTCATTGTATATTTACGCGGGGTATATTAAGATATTTTTGCGCNGCAGGGTTACCCTTAGCATTAGGTTCGCTGGTACCCATTTATACACCTGGGTGAAGAGAGGCAATGTGAGAGTGAAGTGTCTTGCCCAAGAACATAACACAATATCCTCGGCCTGGGCTTGAACCTGGACCACTCAATCCAGAGACGAGCGCACTAACCATAACGCCACCACGCCTCCCACTATATATCAAAAACTGATGTTAAAGACATTGTGAAGGGCTTTTGTGATGGTGTTGTCGATAATGATGAAAAAATAGCCTTTTGCTCAAAACATGTCCAGTTCAAAACTTGAGTGCAAAAACAATACCCTATTTAAGACCAAAATAGCCAAAATTGATGCACTATTTCTCACCAACACAGCTAAAAAGCCATATATCCTTTGAGGCTGCACATACCATTATAGCCCACTTAAGGGAGTACCCCCCTGGAGTTGATCATGGTTCGCATTTTGATAAGATGTAGTGGAGCCAAAATACCCATGGTGAGAACAAACGAGCCTGGTTTGTCACTGAAGCATACCAGAAAAGATCCGATTAAGGTATAAATATTGAATAACTGAGCTTGTACACCAAACCCCCAAAACAGCATGTTATTAACCAAATATTGACATGCAGGCAATACAAAATGTATTCCAGTTTCTATAAATGCCTTGTGGACCTTTCCCCTACCCCCTCCACAAGCCAGTAAGAACTCCTTTACAGTTGTGTACCCCAGGATAGTTACTTCTATATTGTGCCAAGTTTTTCAGACTTGACGTTTCTTCGCTTTCTTTATAGTGGCAAAGAGGGAAACTGAAGCTGCACAGGCTCGCAGTGAAGCAAGACGGTCTCAACCCATTCATGAAAGACCTCGCAGAGTGGGTGGGACAGCAGATTACTCTGCAACAATAACAAAGAAACAGAAGGCTGTTACAGCAGCAAGCAAAGGGCTAGAAATTCAGGTGAACTTCTCAGACAATCTGTTATTGTCTGATTGGGTACATACAACAGGGCTGAGGCCTTGGGTTGAGGAGGGAGTGAGCTTAAGGAGGGTGGGGGAGGGTTGAAAAAAGAGTGGGGAGGGTTGAAATAGTACTTCATGTTACCTCTCTACTATTCTCTAGCGGTTTCACAGAAACTCCTTGCTACCAGGAAAAGTTTAGGTTTGTAAATGCACAAAAGAGCATGAAAAGTTGTTATTATTGCATGATGCCAGGAGCTGCAATGCAAATTGTCTTTGCAATATGTTCTTTTGAAACGTTAATTACATGGTTTTAGTTAATCTTTAGTGAATTTGTATATCTGTAAAGTGCTGTTGAACCACTGGGAAACAGTGTGATATGAATGTCTTATTATTGTTATCTCTTTTGCATGAGTTTAGAAAAAGAGGCAAAAATGGCAACAAGAAAAGAGGCAAAGGGAAGAAAAAGAACTTCAAGAAAAGAAAACAAAAGCAAGAGCACAGGTTAGTGCATGATGTGAACTGTTAAATGACATTGTCTCATTTGTATGGCAAACACTGACAGCTACTGACCAGTTCAAATCATCATGCACAATCTGCAGCAAATGTTTCTACATCACTCAAGTGCTCTCAAACACAACATCATACATGCAGGCTTTATTAAACATAACACTTGCAAAACAATAACACACCATTTTAAAAATAAGTAAATACTCTCACAAAACAGTAGCCTTTTCACCATGTTATCAGAGCATGTGCAGAATCCCGTCCATATCATTAAGTTTTAGAAAACAATCCTAAGAAAATATGAATGCTGATTGGTTAAAAATCGTGTTCCTATAACTCGATAAAAACTCAGAACTAGCACGAGCTGTTGACGTAATGATGGCATGAGCAAAGAGAATTTACATTTTGATAATGAAAGGGAACTAGTTGTTTTCCTTTTTTTGTCGCGGTGTTTTCTGAAAGAAATAGAAACATGTTCTCCGTGTTTCTGTCAAGTTATAGATTGAAACACTTGTGAAAGTTTGGGAGACCTCGAAAAAGCTGTGGAAACATTGCTTGTGGCTCAAGTTCCCACAGCATTTCTTGTTCTCCCAAACTTCCACTTGTGTTTCTATAACTCAATAGAAACACGGTACATGTTTTCTATTTCTTAAATGAAGTTCATTTTTCAAACATATCTCCAATAAAGGCAGAGAGGAATGAGGTTTTGCAGGCTGTGAGAGCTCAGGAGATGATGGAAAAACACAGAGAAGCCCAAAGATGGTAATACACATAAATTGTTAATAAGAAATGAAAAACTACAAATTTACACTGTAAAAGTTATGTTAATTGACCATAAATTTTACAATAGTATAGTACTATTATGATGAGACTATATCAGGAAAAAAAAAATCAGGAATTGCCATATAAACAGTTATTATTAGACTTGGTTTTGGGGGTTATTTTCTTGATAGAGAGAGCTTTTGGGATTAAAATTCACAATAACATTTTTTTTTCAGAACTTTTGACCATACAAGGTCAAAAAATGAAAAATAAGAAATTGTACTCACAATGCATTTAGCTTGTGTACTTATAATACAATTTGATTGAGTTTAAGGATAGGGAATGTAGATTGATGGGAGTAGGGGATCAGAAGTACACAATACATCAGCAATGCACACCAAGGGAAAAAAATTAAATGTTGGCAATGAGTATCGTGTATAATTTTGTTTGTCAGTCATGCCATGTGATAAGATGTATTTATGATGTGTGATGTGAAGTATTTTTTAGAGTTATTAAATCAAAACCCCATCTTATAGAAAGAGCATAAACCAGCATTAAGTTTTCATTTATTTTGCTTACAGGAAAAACCAAGAGTTTCTGGACAAATTAGAGAAAAGAAACAGCTACAGTCGTAAGTAACATAACACTGGGAAGCTTTAAATCTCAGGCATCATGTTGCTGCAGTGACAGCCTTATCCTTACCCACCCCTCCATCAAACACCAGATGCACATTCAAAGCAACCACCATACTCAATGACCTGTCCCCCCCCCTTTTCTTCAATGCCCTCTTTCAACTGCAGTTCAGGGTGCACACAATTTATGAGTAACAAGAAAGCAACTGTCAAGACAAGACTCGGTGTTTTTGTGTGGGCAATTGTGGTATGGGGTGACATGTTGCATGTACGCATTTCTTGGCATACCACCTCTGTTTGAATGTATCATTTTGTGCTGAACATGACAATAACGGCCAAATAACCATGGAAATTAAACACATACACTAGATTTAAAGAAAGCTCTTTACGCAGTGACCAAATCGGTTTTGTCTTGAGATCGGCAGGATTAAAACTGATCACGCAAGCTTGGGAGATCAGCTATTTCTGCATTACCCTCGTGCCACAATAAGAACTTTCCATAATACAAATGGAGACGACATTCCCAACTGTTAATACTTTTTGGTGATGTTTTGCTTAAAAACAATGTTTCCTCCTTTAATTTCTATTGCTTTTACAGGTTATTAAACAGTACTTGGTGCGGAGGTGAAAGGCATCCAAGAATGACTCCAATTCTCTATGAAATCAATCAAACTTAAAATAATAATTCTCCCTACTCACTGCTATATATTTCTGTGCATATTAGATACAAGAATTTGTTAGTAAATCAAAGACAAAGAATCTACTGTCAGTAGATGTGTAATTTTCTGTTATTATTACTGTGTGTCCATCTGCATTGGTACTGTGACAAAAGGAATAACGATAAATGTTCTCCATCTTCAGGAGAGTTGAAACAGCACTTATATCCTGTACTTTTGGCACAAAAATCTAAAACGCACTTGGACTGCATGTGTTAAGGAAAATAGTCAAGTGCAACACAAAACATAGCAAACATATTTTATAAGTTAGCACATTTTTATTTTGCATTTTTCACTTAAATTACTAAAAGGCTAATAATATTGTAATTCATACAAGCTAGGTAGTAGAAAAACATTACTTGTTTTTAGCTTATCACCTATTTGTATTATGGTGAAGGGTGAACTTTTACAAATATGATAAAAAAAAAAGAAAAAAGAAAGAAAGCCAAGCACTGTGATATCCTTACTACCTAACTAAGAGTAATGTTTAGTCTCTGAGATGAATAAAAACATTTACAGTAGGTCACTTGACATGTGAATAAAATAATACAGCAGCTGGGTTTTAATCCTGGTCATTATTCTTCGTCTTTCAGTAGATGATTCTCCCAAAAAGCATCAGTTTAGGGCCAGTGGTAAATCCACTTTGTGCTCTAAACATCATAATACAGAGATCCTCTTCTTGAAAGTCGTAGTTCTGTTAAAAGAGTACAGAATTATCAGATATTATTATATGGCTGTGTCTCACAAGGACTGGGAGCTACAGAATTTATGAATTTGATTGGCTGAAATTGATATTGACTGTGGTCTAGATTTTCCCATCTAGACTGGCATCTAGACCATTTACATTTTGTGGTGAAAAAGTTGCAAACTAAAATACAAATATATTGAATATTTTCCTCCAAAAATATTAGTAGAAGTGCCAAAAAGCTTGACAAGAAAAACAAAAGTAAAGAGAACGGGCGGTTTTTGGCAGATTTAAGTTCAGTGCATCACCGTTCACAAGCAAAATGTCCGCTAGCACAAACCAGTTACATTAAACAAATTAAATTTTTCTTGTTTGCCATTTAATAAACATCTTGTTAATCGAGCTCAGTCAGTCTGTATGGGAGAATCTTGACCTCAGTCAAGATTCTCCCACACAGACCTCCTGTTCGGTTAATAAGAGTTGATTATAGTTCTTCCCAAAAGACAATGCAAGACAACAGGCTTATTGTTAGAAAGAAATGTACGAGGTTACAATCCATCAAATATTTTCACTCACACGAATGGTCTAAACACACCATGTGACTGAATATGCCCCAGCTAAAACTGATAAATATCCAAGTGATATTCCCAATTTTCAAAACTATGTCAGTTGCGAAAAATATTTGAANAGAATTATCAGATATTATTTTATGGCTGTGTCTCACAAGGACTGGGAGCTACAGAATTTATGAATTTGATTGGCTGAAATCGATATTGACTGTGGTCTAGATTTTCCCATCTAGACTGGCATCTAGACCATTTACATTTTGTGGTGAAAAAGTTGCAAACTAAAATACAAATATATTGAAAAAGAAAAGGAAAAAAAAGTAAAAAGAACAAACAGTTTTTGGCACATTTAAGTTCAGTGCATCACTGTTCACAAGCAAAATGTCCGCTAGTACAAACCAGTTACATTAACCAAATTAAATTTTTCTTGTTTGCCATTTGATAAACATCTTGTTAATCGAGCTCAGTCAGTCTGTATGGGAGAATCTTGACCTCAGTCATGTGTACAGACCTCAGTCAAGATTCTCCCATACAGACCTCCTGCTCTGTTAATAAGAGTTAATTAAAGTTCTTCCCAAAAGACAATGCAAGACAACAGGCTTATTGTTAGAAAGAAATGTACAAGGTTATGATCCATCAAATATTTTCACTCATGCGAATGGCCTAGACACACCATGTGACTGAATATGCCCCAGCTAAAACTGATAAATATCCAAGTGATATTCCCAATTTTCAAAACTATGTCAGTTGCGGACAATATTTGAAGGATAATAAACACAATATCCTCCATTTGATGTGAAAATATGCTTGGATATTTGTCCTTGGACATTGCCAGTTCACAGTTATGCTCTTGGAAAACTGTTTGCTTCTCAGAACAGACAATGTGTGCGGACAAATATCCCAGCATATTTTTGCGCCAAATGGAGGCCATTGCTTATTTATCCTTATCAAGGACATTCCCTAAAAGGAATACTAGCAAACTTTGACAACTGGACAAAATTCTTGGGTGGACAAATG